CTTTTTTTAAACTTTGGGAAGGGAGTTATTCATTTCGTTATTTGGAAGGCAAAGTGATAGAGAAAGCAAGAGCTTCCATTCACTGGTTCACTCCCCATAGGGCCACAACAGCTGAGGTTGGGTCAGGCCACAGCCTGGAGCCAGGAACTCTCTCCATACCTCCCATGTGGATGGCAGGAATCTAAGCCCTTGGGCCATCTCCCAGTGCCTTCCCAGGCACATACGCAGGGAGCTGGATTGCAAGCGGAGCAGCCGGGACTCAAACCAGCACTCACCCATGTAGAAGGGAGGTGTTCCAGGCACCATCCCAATCAGCTGCACTGCACCACAGCACCGACCTCTAAGCTGGTCTTTTGCCACTTTGACCCCTTCTGCTCTCTCTACCCTCTGGGGCTGTGGTAGAGATCAAGGGGATGACAGAAACAACAATTCTTTATAATAAGTTTGGTAGACCAAGTGTGCTGTCCAGACCCTGACTGTGACCATGGTCATTTTTTGGTATTCTGTCCCTTGGGCGGCGGTGGTGAGTGAGGTGATCAGAAACCTCACCATCAAATCCATCCTTCCTGGGACCTCCTGGCCATAGCAGTAGAAGCGGCTGGCCTTTCTGCTGGACATGGCACCTCCTGAGCCAGGAATTACTGGAAGACACCTTGCATGCCCCGGGAGGAGAAATGCAGCTCTTACCTCAGTGAGTGCCTGGGTGCAGCTATACCTGAAGCCCGGAGAACCCTGGGATTTACTATTCCATGAGTCAACTTACCGTCCTTCACTTAGGCTGCTTGAACTTCTGACATTCATGACTGCAGGACTCCTAGCTATCTCTTAGTATGTTTTAATAATTAACATACATCAGTTTTGTAATCATAAATAAATTTTCTAAGAGAAAACCTTTGTTAAAGTTTGTCTTCTAAAAATGTTTTTAACTTTGATTTTTTTTTTTTAGAAGACAGAGAGACCAAGTTGAGAGAGCTCTTCCATCTGCTGGTTCACTCCCCAGATACCTGCAATAATCAGGGCTGCATCAGGTTGAAGTCAGGAGCCCAGAACTTACCCTGGATCTCTCCTATGGGTGGCAGGGACCCAACTACTGAGCCTCTCTACTACCTTGGCCAGGGTACGCACATGCAGGAAGCTGAATCAGAAGCACAGCCAGGACTCAAACCAGGCACTCACATCCTCCCCAATACTTCCCCTCTCCAAAGCTCCTGTAAGTTGGCACACATATCAGCAATCCAAGGAAGCAGAAAAAATCACACCACCTAGATTCTCTGCTACAGCCACAGAAATTGCTGTATCTTCTTCAGCATGTTTCTTAACCTATCTGTACCTCAAAATACTAGATTTAAAATGACTGATATTTAAGGCAATTTAAAGGGCTAAATGCCTGTGAATTAATTATAAAAGAAGACCCAATCAGTGTCAGTCAGTGCAATTAAGATTTTTTATGTAAATGTTAAGAACAAATAGTTTGAAAATAATGGCAAACATTTAAAATATCATGTTTTTCTCTCTTCCTCTCAAATAAATGAATTTCAAAAGCCAGGGTGAAGGCGTTTGGCCTGGTGGCTGAGATACCTGTGTCAGACACTGGGGTCCCCAGTCTTGATACCTGCCTCTAGCTCCTGACTCCCGCTTCCTGCCACTGCACATCCTGAGAGACAGCAGCAAAGGCTCAAGCAGCTGGGCTCCTGTCACCCACGGGGGAGGCCCAGATTGAGTTTCCAGCACCCAGCTGCAGCCCCAGCCCAGCCGTGAGCACATAGAAATGAACCTATGGAAGAGAGCTTTCTCTCCGTCTCAAGTAAATAAACACTTTTAAAATTCCTTACATTAACAAATTGCATGTAAGATGTTCTAATGTACATACAAGACACTCACTGCAACACTGGCTGAGTTGGAAGAGTTGGAGACAAAAGTTTCGAAGAGCCTGTTTAAGCGAACTGCAGTATGGTCATACACAGCAATAGTACGTAATCATAAAAATGAAATGGGGAAACTAGTTACTGATATTTCCAATACACAACGAAACATCATAAAGTTAGAGCAAAATGAAAAGTGACCATGTTGTGTAAGAAGGAGGGAGGGGGTAAATTTTGATCATGATGAATTTGATCAGTATATATTGTGTTCATGTATTGAAATGTAGCCTACAAATATATAAAATTATTTTTATTACAATTTCTTAAAAGAGACTAACACACACACACACACACAACCACGAAGAAGAGCAGGAGGAGGGGCATATGATAACCATATAGATGTAATTCCTGGTACATGAATAGATTCTACACTGGCATCCCATCATGCTGGTTCTGTTCCAGCTGCTCCACTTCCAGCCCAGCTCTCTGCTAATGTGCCAGGGAAAGCAAGAAGGTAGCCCAAGTATTTAGGACCCTGTCACCCACACAGGAGACCTGCATGGAGTTCGGGGGCTCCTGGCCTTTGCTTGGCCCACATCCCAACATTGTAGCCATTTGGGAGTGTACCAGTGAATGGATTGGATGGAAGTTTCTCTCCCTCTCTTCCTTCATCTCAGTCTGTCTCTGTCTGTCTGTTTCTCTCCCCCCCTTCTCTCTCTCTCTCTCTCCCCCCCCACCCCAGTCCCTTGCCCCATGTCTGTTGTCTGTATGTCCACCTCTCTGTAATTGCCTTTCAAATACATAAATCTTAAAAAAAAAAAAAAGTAGGTATGACTTGGGATTTTTTTCTTTCTCTTCTATCTTTTTTTTAAATATAAATGGCATGTTTCATCATCATAATGAACCTGAAAGTGTAGCGGGCAATCACAGAGGAGCTTATATTACAGATGGAGAAATACATCCAGAGGTCAAAGCCAATAAGTGACAGGTGCCTCAGTAATATCCTCCCGTCAAAGTCCACACAAGCCGCTGGGTGTGTGTGTAGTCCTCACTAGGGCATCAACTGCAGCACTCTGAATGGGGTAGAATGAAACTGGCTCAGGTAAGAGCCAAGGGGTCACCTTATCACTCATCCATGTCACTCCCATCAGATCAGAACCTATAGAGCTAGGGCAAGGAAGCAGGGATCCCTGACCATAGCCCCCTCCCCACAAATAACCTATTCCTATCAAAAATCATGCATGCCTAATAAAAAACATAGATACGGAATCACAGCAGGCTGACTTGCAGCCCAGCTGCACATCAGTCTCCAAGAGCAATGCTGCTCACATGGTAGTACCCATTCTGGGATACACTGGAGCCCCATTGAGATGCACATTCTAGACTCCATGAACCTGGGATGAGGCCCAAAGTGAGGCTCCTGCTGTGGGTCAGGACCACTCACTAACCTTGGTTCTAGGACTACACTAACCACATGGGTACCACCAGCTGGCTACATGTAGTTCTTGAGCACTTGAAATGTGGCCAGTCCAAAATGAAATGTGGGGAAGTATTAAATACACACTGGAATTCAGAAAAAAAAACACTATTACACAGATGAATATAAAAGATTTCATTCATAATTTTTATGTTGATGACATGCTAAAATAATGGTATTTTTGATATGTTGGGTTAAATAGAATGCACTTTAAAAATTCATTCTCCCCTGTGTCTTCTCCCTGTTTTTAATGTGGCTACTGAAAAATGTAAAATGACGCATGTAGCTTGCTTTATGCTCATATTTCTATTGGATTGTGTCACACCAAGGAGTGGGAGGAAAGGACAGCTTCAGTCCTCACCCTGGAGTACTTGTGAGCATCTATAAATTGTGTAAGGACATTGAAGACCTTGTACAGAGCACTCAGGAATCTAGCCCCCACCCACCCCTACCAAATGAAACTGCTCTGGAAGTGAAACCTGGGCTAATCATGACCTATGAGTAAAAACATCCCCAAAAGCTGTAGGTGGAGGTTTCACAGAGCAAATGCAGTCTCAGGAGTAAGTGTGGGAAGGAAGGAATGAGGCAAGTGCAAGGTCAAGGGCCAGAGGCAGCAGCAAGGTCAGGGGTCAGTGTTGAAAGGAAAGAGTGAGTTAACTGCCAGGCAGCCATGGCTGTCCACAATGCCATGTTGATGGCGACAAGCTGTCAGCTGTGTGTGTGCGCCCAGAGTCACCCTTTGGCACCCTCCAAACAGAGGTTCCCCCAAAGCCAAAAGCTCAAATTAGCACTTGGCCTTGCTACAACCCAGACAGAAGCAACAGTGATGGCTCCAATAGCTGGATACCTGCCTCCATGTGAGAGACCTAGAATGAGGTCCCAGATCCCAGCTGCAGTCTCCACCCAGTCCAGTCATTACGGTCACTTGAAAGTGAACCACAGGATAGACCCCCCCCCTCTAAAACTAATAACACTTATAATAAAATAAAGGATGTTTGCTTTGATATAAGATTTTTTTTTAAATCCATGCATACTGTTTTCATAATACACATTTTCCAAGACCTTGCTGCCGAAGACACCTGCAGACCAGAAGCGAAGAAAAACCTACCACTAGCTTTTACAAAGCCACAAAACAATCTAAATAACCTTGGAGTAAACTGTGAACTCAAACTCTTTCCTATGCCCAGGTGAGTTCTATTTTTAGCAGACTGGCCCATGTCCATGCCAAGATCCTCCACGGGTTTATAATAGTGTGGTGGAGGCATGGGAGGTCTATGGTGCAGTCTCTTTTTAGAAACAAGCAACCCAGGATACGCTAGGTTTGTTTGAAGCCACAGGAAAGGCACAGCACGGCCCCCAAGCATGGCAGCACCATCGACTGTGCTGCAAAGGTGAGTTCCCCCAAGCCTGTTGCCTCTGTTGCTATTTCCTTTGCTCCTATAGGGTAGCAAGAGTGCAGACAGAGGAGAAGACATGAGACAGCCTAAGGGGAGAGCAGCTCAAGGGGCACATGTGGACTTGCTTACACCCACGAGCAAGCACAGCGACTCCCCACTGAGTGCCATGCATGTTTACTCTCCTGAAAAACTCAGCTCCATGCACCTTCTCCTGGGCCCTTGTCTTCTCCATCACAGATCCACTGACCCCCAGCAGGTACTCACCGGGTTTTATTTCTAGCAGCCGCAGCTTTGGGTCCTCAGGGGGATGCAACCTTCTCTTCTTGCGCCAGCATCGGGCAGGGTATGTGTAGAGCTGGCCTGGGGCAAGGCCTGTGTGGACAAAAACAAGGAAGGTTAAAGGCTCCAAGGCTGGAAGGGGCCTTGCTCAATGTTCTTGTCATTCACAGCGAGCAATAAGTGAAGCCTAGAATGGGAAAATGATTTGTCAAGATCACGTAGCTGGTCGACAGCAGAGGCAAGGTGGAATGCCAGCCATCTGGTTCCAGGACCTTGACTGTCTGCTCCACCATGCTGTTGAGCAGGTCCATCACAGAAGCAGCCATCACTTAACCAAGACCAATCCTGATGCTCCTAGTTTAAGGAGAAGATCACAGGGAGCTAAGGTCCCCAGGAGGAACCATTCCAGAATTGCCCTCACGCCATAATTTCCAAGGCAATGGATTTCCCACCACTGCCTCTGTCTAGTCCAGGCTAAGCAGGCTCCCTTCAAGGTAGAGCTGAAGAACACTGCAGTTTTACCTTTGGGTCTGCCTGAATTGAGAAGCATTTAAGGTTAAAAGATCAAAAGAGCTGCATCTACTTCCAATGTCTTCTTGTACTGCCCATTAGCTACTGGTTGCCACACAATTCCACCTGAGTTAACTCAGTCAGGCTCTGTGGGCTGCACAGCTAGCATACCTATATAGCCCTGCCCATTTTCCTGGGCCTTACAGAATCTGGCCCATTTAGGGCTCAGGGACCACAGTGTCTCCTTCTGCCGGGCTTTTGACATCACCAGCATCATTATCAAGCACAATACCCAGGGAGGCCAGATGACACTCTTGTGGCTCATGTGGTACATAATGGAGCAGCCAGAAACACATGCTCAGACACATGCTCAGCACCCTAGGCCACAGGCCATAGGAAAGAGTAATGACCAGGGGGTGAAGGGAGATGAGGATGGTGCTTAAGATTGGCAAGGTGACTTGCAATCTGAAAAGAATGCCCAAGTCCCCAGAAGAAACCACCAACCAAGCCCTTCTAGATGGCAAAGCTTGGTGCGTGAGCTCAGGGACTTGTCTGTCACATCCTCATCAGAATCTCCAGAATCAGACCTGGGTCCAACACATGGAAAAACCAAATGAGGGAATGGACTGAGTGAAGGAACATGTTCCAACTCCCCTTGGAAGCCACAATGGCAACACCTATAGATCCACAGAGCCTGTGACAGCTGTCAGCAGCAGAGAGCCTCCCATGAGAGTGCCAGGACCATTGAGCTCCGAAAACAACAGGCTTCATCCCATCTGCTGTCTTTCATTCCAGGGTCCCTAACAGTTGAACAGGGGCGGGGGGGGGGGGGCTATCTTCTTTTTTGCTTTTGCAGAGAACATCTACACACACACCATCTATACATCCCATTCACTCACGTCTCACTCTTACCAGTCATCTCTACCTACGTATTGGGTCTGGCTGACAGCACAGCCAGCTACCCAGCATTAAAGAAACCCACATGTCTAGGCCTTGTTGTGGGTTAAGATTGTTTCAATCATACGCCTGCTCCCCCAGCTTGCATGACTGTGGACAAGTCGGAGACTCTGGTCTCTCTCCCTTTGAAACTCAGAAGCCAAGGAGGTTTGCAGCTGACAGGGTTCCTGGTTCCTGTGCTTCTGCACAGCAGGAGGATCCTGGGGCTCTGAGGATTTGACTTGAGCCAATTTACAGAAAACCAAATGAACAAATAAGAAACAGTTGTGTGCTCCACCCCATGGGAGATCCAATCGTGACCTTTCTTGAGGAGAGGCACCACTGGCAAGAGCCCAGCATTTCTGGGGTGACTCACTCCAGGGCTGCACCATCTCTGATCCTGTCATGCTGCACTGATTCTAAAACTCTTTCAGATTTTTATACCACCTCCAAGGACAGTGTCCCCCAGGATCCTGAAGAAGGCCAAATATAGAGGTTCCCCCACCCTGCTCCACATTCTAGAATTATATATCAATCCTTATTTATTTTGGGTGACTGATTTTTTAAAAAAAATATTTGTTTACTTTTATTGGAAAGGCAGATCATACTTACAGAGAGGAGAAAGATCTTCCACCCACTGGTTCTCTCCCCAAAGAGCTGCAACAGCTGGAGCTGAGCTCATCTGAAACCAGGAGCCAGGAGCTTCTTCTGGGTCTCTAATGTGAGTGCAGTGTCCCAAAGGCTTTGAGCATTCCTCCACTGCTCTCCCAGTCCACAAGCAGAATGGGAAGTGAAGCAGCAGGGACATGAACAGGTACCCATAAGAGATCCTGTTGCTTGCAAGATGAGGATTTGGCCATTGAGCCATCACACCATGCCCAGGTTAGTGATTCTTAACCTACATTGAAACTAAAACTACCCAGAAAACTTCTCAAAAACACCAAGGCCACAAATCCATGCGAGACGTGCCAGATCTCAAAGTAGATGGACGAAGGAATCAGGAAAGTATTCTTTTAAAGAACTTTGTAGGTCTGACAACATTTGAGAACTTCTGGCTATCTAAACATCACCTAGCTACTGTCTACATGTTTGCTTTGATGTAGCAAGACTGGCTTAATGGCCTTTCCTATAGCATCCCAAGGTTGCCTGTATTTGCCCCAAGGTATTGTAATTAATTGCCTACTAAATGGTCTCCCCTACTGTTTTTATAAGATCAAGCATGGCAGAAAACCATGTCCTTCTGCAGGATTCCCAACATTGAGTACACAGTAGTTGACAGAGCAAGGAATACTTACCAAATAAATTGCACTAGAACCCAACTGGACTCAAATGGAAGAAAGGGGAAAAAAACAGTGTCCCTGCTCTTTTCAGCTCCAAAAGACTCATCCACGCAGATCCAAGATATCCCAGAGCAGTCCAAAAAACGGGCTCAGAGCTGAGTTGAGGTCAGGTAGTTGGCCTACTGGTTAAGACGATCACATCCAAAAACAAAAAAGAAAATGATCACATCCTGCATTGGAATGACTGGGTTTGACAGCCACTGCCAACACCTGGCTCCAGTTTTCTGATAATGCAGACCTGGGAGGCAGCCGGAATGATGTGGGTAACTGGGTTATCACTTCCCACGTGGGAAACCTGGCTTTCTCCCCAGCCCAATCACATCTGTTGAAAGCATGGAGCACTCACATGGTGGGTGGGTGGGTGTTTCTGTTTCTCAAATATATTTTTTTTAAAAAGCTGTGACCAGTGCCCACTTGCCAGCCCCATAACTGGCAGACTCTGTGCCTTTGGCTTCCTTCCTGCCCCATAGGCTACTTCCTGGTTTTTCGACCTGACCAGGAGCAGGACGGTAACAAAAGGTTGATCCAGACTAGAACTCTGAAAATGTCAAAATCGCCAAAGCACAATGCTGTCAACAGGTGTCCAGCTCCTCCCTTGTCTCTCTGAGTTCACGTGCTTGTGGGTCAGCGACCCTCGGGCTACTTTGTGTGGAGCTATAGGAACATAGTTCTGGGAGAGTCAACTGTAGTAAGTAACTTGAACATCCAAAGAAGGCAACTGCTTTTGTACCATTCCTTTTCTGGTGGGTTGGAAAAGCTCTTTGGTGCAGGAAGGGACAGCATCTGTTTGCCAGAAATACATCCCAACACCTTTCTGAGTCTGTGTCTTCACTTTTAAGACAAGTGCATTACAAACACCTTACCTTACCGCGCGGCCATAGGGGTTAGCTTATACTCAGAGGAAGCACTCTACCCCCATGAAGATAGGACAAATGCAATGAGTTAGCTGACCTGGAGGAGACCTGGACTCTGTTCACATGGCATGAAGCGGTTTCCATGCCATCCACCAAGTGCTGCTATTTGATTCCTTAGCCAACAGGGTGGGAACAGATCTCCTTTTGATGTCTAATTTGAATCCACCCTGTCTCAACAAGCAAATGACCCCCAAGAATTCTCTTGGGGCTCCTAACCCCTTTCTTTGCTCTCCTTGCTAAGCTGACAGGCACCAGGGTTCCTTTATAAAGGGCCAACCCACTCAGCCCTGGAGTTGCACTTGTGGAGGGAGCAGCAGAGCCTCGTGAGAGTTAGGTTGTTTATCTCATTAGAACAGGAGGCACATAACTCAAAGCCCATGCATGTGTGCAAGGAGGATGGAGGAGGAGGAGAGAGGCATAGCTGTTGTCAGGGAAATTAACCTTGAGGAGTGAGCCTGGGGCCAGGGATGGATATGGAGGAGAGGAAACTGGAAGGTGGGAGATAAAGGGTGGGGGGGACAGTCCTCCCTGGTAATGAAGGCCATAGCTACCCCTCCATTCACACACCCCGCTGAGCACACTGCTTCTCCATTACTGTGAGTACAGCTCTACTTACAATCCTCATGCCAATGTGCAAGCATGGGCATGCCAGGCACACACACACACTCACACGAGGTTGGGGGGGGGGGAGGAGAGGAAGAGGGAATGACTTGCTGAAAGAACTGGCTTTGCAGAAAAATTTGACATGATGGGCTTGATTCTCAATGGTCAGCAGACTCCAGACAAATAGCGTACTATACACATTACTCAAGTTCAGCAGGTGGATCCTGAGGGTTTAGAGCATTTCCGAATGACAAGGCAAGAACTATGAAGAATCCAGAAGATAAAGTGGGCTAGAAAAGAGAGGGAAGGTTGATGGGGTTAGGAATGGTGATTGAAATGGGGAAGCAGAGAACTGGAGTGGCTTCTTTCCCAGTACCAGGTTGGAACACAGCAGTCCCAGTCAACCAGGAAAAGATGTCCCTGCAGCAGGTCAGTAAGGGATCCCCAAGCTGCCACTGTGCCCACACTGCAATGATCACTTCCTGATCACTTCCTGGGACAGACTGCTCCACCATCGGCCAACACTCGTTTTGGTTTTTTTTGTTTGTTTGTTTGTTTGTTTACATTTTAAATGTTTTTGAAGAGTATTTATTTGAAAGGCAGAGTTATAGAGACAGAGAAGACACACACCATACACACCATACAGAGAGAGAGTTCCATTTACTCCCCCAATGGCACCAATAACCAGGGGTGGGCCTAGCCAGAGACAGGAGCTCCTTGTTCTCCCATGTTGGTGGCAATAGCCCATGCATTTGGGCCATCCTCACTGCTTTCCCAGAGAGCTGAATCA